CAGCAGGACAGAGTGTGGTCACTGTAGCAAACCTGTTCGTAACTATCGCATTTGTTTTTATGACTGTGAGTAGCATTATTCAGTTTTCTAGACTGAATCCTGAAATCCTAGAAATGCTGAAATCTAGAAATCCTACCAGCACAGAGTTCAGCTGAATTCTGCAAAAAGACTGGGGGGTCGAGCATGTCGAATATCCTGATTTGTCCAATCTGAATATTCTGAGACTGTGGGGTCGAGCATTATGTTTTGTCCTTTTAACTAACAAGAACCAGGGGGCCGGGAGGCTGGGTGTGAGGGGGAGGGAGAGTGGTTCCTCTGCCCTATTCTCTGTGGCTCTGGCAGCCAGCATAATGTCTGGAAAGCCACAAAGCGGCCTGGAGCTAGATTTCATTCACTTTCCTTCAGCTGTGTCAAAGACAAATTTGGCTGCCTGAGGACATGATAGCCTCCCACTCTCCAAGAGCACTACCACAGTTGCCCTCAGCTGCAGAGCCAACAATTGGGCATGTTAAAACTGGACAACATGCAAACAGCTACAACTAGAAGACAGCCACCATAAACAACGAGGCAGCGCTGAACCAACAGCCAAAACCCGTGTTGCCTTAGACTTGGGGCATACAAGCAAAACTGAGGGCACACCTCCAGTACATCCACACATTCGAGTAACAGCAGACAGTTCATGCGAACCCATCTGGGACCCACAGATGGGAAGCATCCAGGTTTAATGTACAGGTGAAAGCATTCCCTGTTGCTCATTTCGGGAGAAGGTCCACATGAGGTTACGGCCCAAAGCTGGGTAACAGAAATTATTACTTCCCTGTCCCCTGTTCTTCACTGGAAGAGTTTCTTCCTCTAGAAATGCTTTCCCACTTGTTTCTAATCTGAAGAAGCAGAGTCAAAAGCTAGAGAACACATGGTAACTGCATGTAATTTGTAACTTGGCTTTTTGTTGTTGCTGTTGGGGCTTTTTTGTAATCCTTGCCTCTAGATTTTCTCTGGGTTGCTGGTCAATCTCACAAGTGTCTTGCCCTGGCTCGCCTGGCTCAAATACTTTAGCATCCCTCGATACGGACTGACAGTAAGTGCTGTATTTTCCTGTGTACACACTTGGAAAAGATTTGCTAGAAAAGGGTGTCTTTGCTAACGGTAAAGAAAACTCCAAACTTTATGGGCTAATGAGCAAAATGTAAGCTAATTAAATACAGAAACCTCAGAACGTAGTGCAGTGCTGTATATTGAAACAAGAAAGGCTTCTCATCAACCCGCACCCACTGCTGTTTAGAAGAGCTCATTTCTGTAACTTGGAAACACCTCATATGAGAGACACATTACACAACTACATCCACAGCTGGACAAAAACAGTGGCATAAAGAACAATGTTATCCCTAAAAAACAATTACTCTCTTTTCCATCAATCAAACAAAAACTTGTCAAGCTAAAACTTTTCTCCCAATTATTGATCATTTAAGCCAGGCTAATGTTTCTCAGAGAAATTTCAGCTTTAATATGCCCATGCAGAAATGGTCTAGCCTCAGGGAGGTGTTAAAGCCCGGTGACATGTGTGCATTACAGGGTGTGGACTGCATACGTTCCTCTCTTAAAAGAACCATGCTGCTCAGTTAAAAAATGGGGATTTGGCCAATATAATAAATAGTGTTACCATCACGTTTTTAGAATAAATTTGAACTGAATTGTAGTTCATCTTGTTAATATATCAATCCTTTACCTGCTAATTTCTGTTGCCATTGTTTCTCTTATTTTAAAAGGCTTTACAAATCAATGAATTAACTGGCCTGAACTTTTGCAGCAGCAGTGACAACGCAAGTTTGATCAGCAACGATAACTATGGACAGACAAGACAGTCGTAAGTATTTTGATACATTAAAATGAATCCCACCACCAGTAACTTAGAAAGTTACCTTACTGTGAGTCTGTTTGTGAGATACTGATGACCAGCAGAATTTGTAAGTTTTTATATGGATAATGGAGCTTTGACTGGGTTTTTGCATTCTGTCTGCAGAGAACATTCTGCTTATTGTCATATTTAGTATTTATAACACTAGAAATATCTGGTATTATGCTTCTCACTTTTCTTTAAACTGTGTTACTGAAACACATACACACAAACTACAACTATACAGCCTCAAAAAATCCATTTCAGCTTCCTACAGGAAACTGATCGTAGCCACAAAAAAAACAAATTTACAAATAGAAAATAAAATAAAAGAACATATAGCTGGTGTTTGCCTGTCCTACTGTAGACATGAAATCACACCACAACTGCTAGGGATCTTCCTAGATACTGGTGAAGTTTATAAATATGTGTGTATTTATCCATAGGTTGTGTACTGGAGATGAATATCTGAAAAGTCAAGGCATTGATACGAGTAGCTGGGGCCTGTGGCAGAACCACCTGGCTCTCGCCTGCATGACAGTAATATTCCTTACTATTTCATACCTGAAACTGCGCTTCATGAAGAAGTTCTCTTAAAACCAGAATGAAAAATGCAATTCCCACTGTTCAGTAGTTTGATAAGCTGTCTGTGTAACTGACTTCATTCTTTCTTAAGAGACCTTCCTTGGCACTTTTGTTTATGATTACACAAATCAACAATGTGAATGCTATCCTTGTATATTAAATACTTATTATTAATGTACTTCGCTGAAATGTCTAGCGTGCCTCTGTTCTCTTTGCCATAAAAAGTATACGACAATTCGTTTCTTCAAGATACCATTCAGTCTTTGTGCCTGGTCTAGCTAAGAATTTGTTAAACAATGAAACTAATATTTATTGGCTTAACCTGAAAAAATATACTGGTTCCATGCTTTAATTAGCACCTACATTCACTGGCAAGAAATTCAGTCCAAAGTGATGTTTATCAGGTCAGCAACACAGTCTCAACTGCTAACATGGTCACAGTCTACATGGGACAGCAACAAAAGCATCCTCTCCACCCCAGTGCACGTCTCATGCCCTTTTCTATTTGGGAATCTTTACTGCTCTAGAGTGTACTTGACTGATGCCATCAAGTTTTCTGACAAAGCTCAAGTGGTGGAAACACTATTTTTTAAATAAAGGTGACTGTGTACTTTCTTACTCTGCCAGTTCTTCAGTCCATTTAGGAGGTGCACGCGCAGTACAGTAACAGCATGGGGGACACTTGCCTAGCAGTACTGCCTCACCAGTGCACCTGCCATCTTCCAAGAAAAGTCCACACACACGGCTCCTCCTCCACCTTGTAGCTGACCCGATTTTCTCTTTGTGCGCAGCCTGTGTGTTGCAGTAAAGCTGCATCAGCCGGCCCGAGACGAGGTTTCGCTGTGCGAGATGAGGAAGAACAGGAGAAGGGGAGAACCCGAGGCAAGGCGGGGCGGGCCCCCCTGCCGTGCCCCCTCCTCTGCCCTCACCTTCCCCTCTCTGTTGGTTACCCAAGGGCCACCATGCGCTACCGTCCCGCCAGCCATCAACCATAACCTGGCTGCCACACATTGCCCTCACTCCCGGCAGCCGACCACCGCCCGCCCAGGATGCCCCGCTCGTCATTCAAGGCAGAGTGACAGAACTGGAGAAGCAGTATGAGCGCATGCTCTCCTTTTCTGTCAGAAATACTTGGAAGCAGTGGTGCAGACCTGGGGCAATGACACCAGGCAGAGGAGTGAGGTTGAAGGTGCATAGGAAAAAACCCACCTTGTTCTCCAGCCTCCCTTTGCAAGCTTTGCAACGAGTACCACAGAATGAGGCTTTCTACAATGGTAACCTGTAGCTGTGCTCCAAAATGTTTCACTGTGACTTTTGAAACAAGTAACATGGATCCTGTGGAAAAACATTTTAATCAAACACTGTTATTCACAGTTGAACTGCATGAGAGGAAACAGACAGCTGTAGAACAGTGTCCCAAATAGAACTGCAAGCAGAGTTTTATCATCTTGACAAAGACGTGAGGTCCTTGCTCTGAGCGAGGTCGTTAGTTAACTCATATGCTCAGAGGCTTTTGCCATAGCCAGCAGCGACTGCCCACAGCGGTGGCACAGGAGCAGCTCCACCGCAGCAGCAGCTCTTGGAACGCTGCACCAACGGCTTTCCCACACGTCTGATTTCTGTAGTCAGACATGGGTTTTCTGCAGAAGCCACTGTTACTTTCCACAACATCTGCTACAGAATCGTGGAGTGGCATTTGATGTTGTCAATAAATAGTTGATATTTTAACAGACATCAAATGCTTTCAAAAACATTACGTTTCATACCCTTCTTCATTCAGCTATGTCACACCTCTGCATAAGCACCCAGCAAACCAACTGAAAAGTAAAAGATGAAATAGTGCAATACGGATACAGTCACAGATTCACAGACACAATAGCACACATTAAGTTAAATTCTCAGTTTCTGGTTTAGCCAGAAGGGGATCTTGTACAGAAAGGCATTGACATAGACCTGAATTTTAGGGAAAAACACATGTGACCTTAAGAACACATGCACAAATAGAATAACACACACAAAAGAGATCCTCAACATTACAAAGAGCTCTGAAAAACTAAGGAAAGAACTTGCTCAATCATTAATATTTCTGTATTTAGTTATTTACATGTACTCAGTTTTCAGGCAATAGGTTATGAGCCTGTTAACTTTTAAAATCTATCATCTACCTGACTCTCGCAGTTCACTATTAATTTATACTTCAGTAAAATAACTTAAGTTTATGAAAATAAAAATTTCTTCTTTTTCTTAGATTGTCAGGAAATGGTCACTTTACAACTATACTAACAGATTCTCTACATTTACACCAATATGATTGAACTATAAGTCCAACCTCCTGTATTTCTATGCACGTAACTAACAATTAGAACCAAATATGAATGAAATCATGGTTTAGTAGTACTTGGGCCTTTTATTAGTTGTTGATAGATTTTCATTTTACACTATATCAAAATGGACAGACATTCAAACTAACAAAATGTATACACAGATAGAAAAATTTTGGTTTTGTTTTGCAGTGGGATTATGAGACTGAACCTTAACACAATCTTGGGATGCACTGGTGTGGCAAATATTTCTAAGTATTCAAGCAAAAGATTTGTGCCATATCAGCTGTATTTCCCATCTATGGAGAGCATATGACTACTTGCTTTTGCTATGGGTGAATAGATGTAATAACCCTAAGCATTCTACATTGCTCCTGTTCAAGCCCAGAATTCAGGACACGTACATTCCACTTCTGTGGCACTTCTTTGCTCATATTAGGCTCTTTGATGTTCAATGACGTGATTTGTGGAGCAGAAATATTATCTGTGCTATAAATTTAAGTTCAAGACTTTTGCAAGATGGTACAAAGTTAGAAGAGATCGGCAAAATGAAAACCAGGTTTCTCAAAATGATTGTTCCAGCTGTACTTAGTGACTGAATAAATTTTTAATTTGGAGAGAAAGCCACTTTATACTCAGCAAAGAAGCTGGAAGTATCTATGTTAACTAGATAGGCAAGCCAATATTTTCTTTGCTTTTACTTCTTTTCATTTACTTCTCCGATTCCTTTCAGAATGGTTTTGTTTCTTCTAAGGCTTAGATATTTCAGCTGCAAGGGAGGATGCACACGGGGTCTCTGGAAACATTTTGACATATGTATCTCTGGACATGCAGTAGAGGTAAATAACTGCCTTTTCTGTTTATTTCCCCTAAGGGACATACTCTGCATTAAAATGACCTGAGTCATTCCATGCAGACTTGCACTGAGATATCGGGTATCAAGCTTACTGTGATAAAACCTCTGTATACTAGTTCCAGTACATCGGTATCAACATATAAATATATATTGAATTTATTTCCATATATTGATATGTGGATAATTTATGTACATGGAATTGCTGTCCTATCTCGCATCCCATAATTCCATGGAAAGGATTTGGTTTAGGTTTAAACAACACATCACTTAGGACAGCCTCACTGGGTTAGGTGTCTTTTCTGTTTGAGGTCTGGGAGAAGAGTAATAGTATCACATTGTTCTGTGAGATGTGACCCCACCCACCTTTCTCTCAGCTTTGTTTTTAGGATTTAGCCAATGTCTGTTTTTACCTGCTTCATTTACATCACTATATCATCATTATATCATCACTGTTAATAATATATATTATTTTTAATAAAGAGATCCCAAAAGCTTGTGGAAAGGAAAAAAACCCTGAGACTAAACAGTGTTTTATACAATTCTTTCTTGGGGCAATATCTGTGATGTTATTTTAGCAATCAAACCATCAACAGGATCAAATATTATTTAGCTACTTGCCAGGTGAAGAATTTATCCTCAAGAAATACCATGTGAGCACTAAATCCTAACCTACTCTTTTGCTCAGATTTTATCTAAGCATTTAAAGTCAATGGCAATACAGAATAGAATCACAGAGTATATTTCATAAAAACTATTTAAATAAGGAAAAGGTCATCAAGATTTACAATTACAATTACATGCTTCATATTACTCAGATTTGCAAGCATGCATGTTGTTAGTTATTCACAGCACAATTTCTCACTGAAGGGAGGCAAAGATAAACGCAGAAGTTGAATGCCAGTTCTGTTTCTTCTTTTATGTTCAGGATGTCAAGGCAAGGGAGGACAAGCATCTTTTCCATTCTTCTGCCTCACTGTTCCATATTCAGAGTGTTTGGTAGCAGGCCAGGTGCTCACGGCCTTGCTCACAATGCTTTACAGTGCTTCAGATACATTGGTGAGCTTTCAACAATTGGGCGTTCTGGTCACAGTGACAGGCAGTGACTAAAACAGACTTTTAAACTTTTCACCTTGCGCTGTGTTAATTGCATTTGTAAAGGAAAAAAAATACCAATTTTCATTAGACCTCATTTGGTTATACAAGATAAATATTAAAATGAGCTATAGCTCCCTCTTACAGCAAAGTTTGAGATGTTGCACTGCTGTGTAAAATGCCTATCCCCAAGACAAGAGCTTCCCATGCAGCTTGTGAGGAGTTGCCGCTCTCATTAAAATGCAACAGTACTCTGGATTTAAATAACAACATACTTTGTGTTCATTTAATTCAGACACTCTGGCTCTACTATGAAATGGTTTGCAGGAAATAATTTACCTAAATACTCCGGTACTTGCTCATTGGTTGCTGGGTTAGGAAATGTCCGGTGAATAGTGCTTGCAGTCAGTACGCCCTGCCTCCCTCTCTAAGGTCCAGCAGGACCCTAGTTAGAATTATCAGCCAAAGCACCAGAGTGACTTGCAGCTATTGGGAACAGATATACACAGGTATGTTATCCATTGTATTGACAGTTCAGTTTCTGAGCCAAGGGCGCATTTTAACGTTACTTTTTTAAATATATGGGAAGCGTATGATCTCTGTTCATGTCTGAATTTGGTCATAACTGAACAGTCACCTTTCTAACTTTCCATCTTTCTAATGGAATGAACCAACATGCTGAAACTATTTATGAACTTTAGATCCAATCCTGACCTGAAGACTTTGGCCCTTTGCTATTTCTA